GACCAATCAAGGCACGTATACCATATTACAGGGACACATAAGAATCCTAGGAAGAATGTGACATTTTATTACAATGGCAGATGACGAAACCTCAGACTTCTGGAGATGCTAATCACAGAGCACAAGGCAAATCAATTTGATTATAAATTCAAACCAGTGGCAATTTTCTTCTTCATAGTAAGTGCTCTGGAATACTGGCATGGCCTATTAACTCTCCCAACCCATGTGAGCATGTCTATACATACAAGTACTTACGTGGTAGGTATACACCTAGACATAACTAACAAGCACAGACACACACTACACACTATCATAACTTTAAGATTCATCACTTTCTCAACACGATCAATGAAGGACTTTGAGGACTGCAGGCACACCAATTTGATCCTTTCTGGGACTTTGAGAGTATTCACACTTACAAAAGGCTACAGAAGGGATACCTTTGCTCTGTGAGTTTTAACTGGAAAAGTAAGGTAACATCCTTGTGTCAAAAAATATGGATAAGACACTCTCCCTAAAGGCAATGTTTTAATAGAACAGCGATCTCTGTGGTTTATTTCTTTTTCCCCAGCTAAACTTGGTAGGCCATTTTCTTTCACTTAACATTGGCTCATGTTTTGTGGAGATACAAAACCTTCTTTGTAATTATTATTTTAATGGTCACAGCCAGTGAGTGTACACCATCATTCACTCGACTGTTTACCTATTGTTAGGCTGTTAGCATTTCTCACACCTTCAAGTTGAACTGAGTGTGTTTTTATCTGTGTTATTAATTTAAAACAGTACAGAGATGACACGGCATCACTAATCTAAAACTACAGCGTTTATATATTTACAGCTCACATTTGATTATGAAATTTAATTTGAGAGTAATTAAGACATTTATATTCTACACAGCTCAACAGCATCTAGATCTCCCTGAGCTAGGCAGACCAAACCATGACTTGCCACTTTCCAAAGCATATACCCATGAAGTCTAATACAGGTTATGAACTCTTGCTGCTCTGCACATAAGAGAGTCACCCAAAGGACCAGCACCTCTAGCTCTGTGGGGCTACCTACCCAAGGAAGTCATGTTATAAACGCCATCCAAGTCTCACAGTCACCTCAGACTTCAAGGCAACCCTTAGTTTGTGCACCAATGACAGACATGTTCCAGGACCACTGGAGGTCTCCCATAACCCACACCTGATACATGATATGAGAAGGCCAGGAGACAGACTCATTTACTTTTCAGATGTCTGATGCTTTATTATTGCTATTATTAAAGAAAGGGCCTTATTAAGTATCAACTGGCTATCCCAGAACCTGTTGTGTAGACCAGGCTAGTCTCAAACTTGCAATGATCCTCCTATCCCTGGCTCCTGTGTATTTGAATTGCAGGTACATGCCACCATGCCTGGCTTAGCTGATGCTTTTTGAAGTTGACCATGGGTCATGTCAAATGACAGATTTCTCTGCACAGGGTAGTTCTTCAGTGAATGTTATTCAAAGGGACTTATGGTGCAGGCCACCAGCTGTGCCCTTCAGAGTTGCAACCTATAATATGAGGATAGCAGGCAAGGGAATCCTGAGGGTCAAATAAGAAGATGGGAGTGCAATGCACAAGAGTGCATGCATATTGTCTAGAGAGATGGCTGAGCATATACTGCTCTTGCAGAGGACCCAAGCTCAGTTCCCAGCACCTATGACCGGCAGCTCACAAGGACTCATAATTCCTGCTCCAGGGGCTTCCAACACCTCTAGCCTTCTGGAGCATCTCCACTCATACACATACAAGTAATAAAAAAGACAATAAAACTTCATCTTGAAACCTGCAGGGCAGGCACAAGGCCCTAGGATCAACCCTTTGTACAGGCCCTCAAAAGCAAAGAACTTACTATTTATCTTCATTTTCACTAATAAGGGAATAGTATTTTACATACTTAGCAACTCTGTAAAGCCTGAAGAGCTTACAGTTTTGTTTTTTACTATTTTGCTTTTACCACCAGCAATTAATTCCTCTGATTTGTTTTATGAGTTTGATGGTCTGGTCTAACACTCAGCAAACCAGCAGAGTGATGTAAGAAATTATTTCAGTGCAGTTCCTGGCAAATCCTGATGATGAATAGTGAGGCAGGACAAACTTACTCAGACACACATTTTTCAGAAGTGGCAGGGAAAAGGCTGAAAAATTACTGGTAAATTGCTTTTTGTAAAAATGCTCTCTCTTTCAAATTTCCCCTAGTATGAAGGTCTCCTTCAGAATGATGGCACAATACATTCTGACACACCTAGATGGCAAGGGAGCCAAAGAACAGTCACAGATAAGAATGGGGGTTAGGATTTAATTTTCTTCTTATGTTCCCAGTTTCCAATGCTCTCCCCCCCCCCTACCAATTCTGAGTATATATCTTTTACTTGTTGGGATAAGTGTCCCTGAAAGATAGCTATTATGTGTGCTGGCAGCCTTGCACTGCCCCACCCCCCAGGCACAATCCCCTCCTCCACTGTATGAGCCTTTAATGTATTACATCTCTGGTCCATTCTACTCCTATCCCCTCCTCTCTGAAACTGTCCTGGAGGTTGAGTTTCAGATTACAGACATCTGCAGATCTCCCCAGCACCTACTTGAAAGCCTTCATTCTGGGACATAACTCAGGGACAATAGAAGCCTTGGGCACTCATGGTTGGAAAGGCCAATGCAGGGCTGCAATGATGGTGGTGCTTGCTTGACGACATTGCTGGTTGTCACACTGGTAGGAAGCCATGCTTCCTTTCTCTGTTTGGGAGAAGCTAGGCACTTCTGAGCAGTCTGCACTGCCCAGAGTCCTCCAGCATCAGCGGGTCACCTGCCTTACCTACCACTAGAGCAGCAGCTGAGTAACCCTGGTCTAAATTGAACCAAAAGCTGTGGAGATTACTTTAGGGTATGCCCAAACCTAACTACCCATTAGTGTTCGGTATTACTATGAAAGAATTGGGAATTGGGTTTGCCTCTGATTCTTTCATGCTGTGAATACCTATGGGGGCTTGCAAGGTAGCAAAGGCCAGTATGGCAGGAGTTTAACCCACTGCAGAGAAGGCATAGGTAATATGATTCCCCTAAGCCAAGGGCTTGGAGTTTCTCTCTTCCTTTCCTTCAGCAAGCCACTATACCTACTGGCCTACAGTGCTGACTAAAGATTATGGACAGGGCAGGCATTGGATCTGTATATTGGACATCTGGGTCTGTTGGAAACAGTGGGTGTCAGGTTATAATGTGTCATTATATGTATATGTATATGACCTACCTGTGCTTTCACCTGTTTTGTGAGGCTGAACAAGTGGCATGCCATACCTCTGTGATATGAGAATGTTGACACCAATTGTAAAGAAAATAAACATCTACCACCCATACCCTGACCCCGTAAGTAGTGGCCACACTGTAATTCTCCATTGCCATGTGTTGCCCAAGAATGTCTCCTCCAGTTCCCTGGGCTAGGCTCTTACCTATAATGGCACCACTGTCACCATCACTACCCCTGCACATCCTCTGTCTCGGGACAGAGCTTGAGTTTTGTTGACACTGGGTTGGGTAGTGTGGCTTTTACTGACCTTGACTCATCTCTGTGACTTTGCATCTCTGAACACTGGGGATCTGATTCCAGAGCCTTCTGTATACCCTCATCCAACCAGCCAGCCACTTTAATCTCAGATTTCAGCTAGTTCACAAACAGCACACATAACTATCTTCTGTTTGTTTTTGTTTTGCCAAACCCAGGATTGAACACAGGTCCTCATACATACTGAGAAAACACTTTATCTCAGACCTGCTTTTTACTTTGTTTTGAGACAGGGCTCATTAGTTTGCCCTGCCTGGCCTTGAGTTCACTCTGTAGCCCAAGCAGGCCTTACACTTGTGATCCTTCCTGCCTCAGCTTCCTAAGTAGCAGGAAACAGAAATTTGCACCCCCATGCCAAGCTTCCCTGTATCTTGCTTCAAGTGCAGCCCCCAAGAAAGTTCTTGGGAGTGCAATAAGCAGCTGCGAATCTGCTTATCTAATAAAGGGAAGGCACTTACCCTCCTGGAGTTCCCCAGAGAATCATTGGCCACCTGCATCTCTTTAGCTGCATTTAATAGCTCAGCCCGAGATGAATCTGCATGATTAACAAAAAAACCTCCTGATTTTATTTTCTTTCAGCATTTAAATGCTAGAACAACTACCATTGTTGTCATTTTTTTTCAGGGGTTGTGATCAAAACACAAAATCTGATTCTAGAATGAATAATTTATTTTTTAAAGTAATTTCCAAATACCATTCTCCATGGAGTCACAGAAAAGAGATGGTATTGCTGTTTTTGTAGACTCAGGGAAACCCATGTTATGTTCATGACTGATGTTTCTAGAAGCCAGGCTCCCCACCATGACTTATTCCCAGAGATAGCACTGTGGAGGAGTATAGCTGGCTCCCCACAGAGTCAGTGTTGGCTGACCGTGGACCCTGCCTGCAAGGCCACCTTTATATATGTCTATCTGCTCAAGACTTAGAATCTTCAGTAAGTCTTTAATACTGCTAGATTCCAATAATAGATTAATCATGTCACCCACAAAACAAAAAAAAATAGTAAAAATCCTAAACTAAATAAATTGCATTTGGTAAACCATCTGCCTGTGGAGTGGAGACACACATGTGAAAAGATAATTTGCAAAGCTGACGAGGCAGCATCATTGGGCTGCTTGATGAATATAGTAAAACAGGTTTGTCTAATGGGGAAACAAGCATTACTATCAAACGAAAAAAATGAATGTATCCCACATGGAAAAGTAAGCAGGCTTTAATATTGAGAAGCATTTCATGCTGTGCCTGCCAGCAACTCCCCGCCTGTCTGATTTTCCTTAACATAAAGGCCGACCTCACCTGTTTAAAAATAATTAGGAAGCCGGCAGCCGTAATTTGGCTGGAAGTCCATTCAGCTGCGTTTGTGTGTATGCTTCTGACCCACTGATGCTTCTGTTGCTGTCTCTGCATGCAGGCACCATGGTCAGCAAGGACTCCGGCAGATGCATACTCACGACGACACCAGAGCGGGAAGTAGAGCCAGCCGCCTGCCTGGCCCTGGAGATGAGATATGCCCTAGACCCCAACCGGCAGATCAAAAAGCGGAACAAAGCCTTGCAGGTGCGCTTTAAGGATATCTGTGAAGCCCAGAATGAGCAGAGGGACACACAGCTGTCTGCAGGACCTCTGGGGGAAAAGCGAGAGGCCAAGGCTGTGTCCTGTAGGGCAGCATACCGTAAGTATATGACAGTGCCTGCACGCCGATCCATTCCCAATGTCACCAAGAGCACGGGTGTACAGACCTCACCAGACCTTCGAAAGTGTTACCAGACATTCCCACTGGACCGCAAGAAAGGTAGTCTCAAAGGCCTGCCGACTGCAGATGCCTTCAAAAGCCAGAACAATGGGTTTCTAGCAGATTCAAAAGAGAAGAGTGAGGCAGGACCCATGGAGGACTCCCGGCCTTACAGTGCAGGAAGGATTCACAAGACCACAGCATTGGTTTTCCATTCCAATGAGCACGTGAATGCACTGGACCAGCCTTCCGGGGTCAACTGTGCAGAGCTCTGCAAGACTCCAGACATGCTTGGCTACCCTGAAGCTCTACTGCAGAACTCTCGGCCTCCCTCTGAGGAGCCCATGCACCAGCTTCCGGGGAGAGCTAAGCCAGGCAGGAGCAGGCTGGACTCAGAGGAGCCCACTCCACTTGCCCATGGAAGGGTGTTTAAAACAGAGGTTGCCACTGTGTACCCACCTGCCACCAGTACCAGGGCCCCTGAACCTAGCTTGTCAAACTCTGCTGCTGCCAGCCAATGGTCTCTCTGTCCTGCAGATGAGGAGCAGAGGAGGGCCGCCCAGCTCAATGGGCTGCAGGCATCTACACTGTCCTGCAGATGAGGAGCAGAGGAGGGCCGCCCAGCTCAATGGGCTGCTGGCTCCTCCGGGCTCTGCTCTGGCCTGCTCACCCCCAGTGCAGTGCCTGTCCCCAGAATGTAGCGAACAGCCCCTGCAGAACCAGCCTAGCCCCACAGCTGGGGTGGGGGATGAAGAACGCCAACAAATTGTGCCTCACACGGAAGTGGTAGACCTCAAGGCCCAGCTCCAGGTGATGGAGAACTTAATCAGCTCTAGCCAGGAGACCATCAAAGTGCTGCTGGGAGTCATCCAGGAGCTGGAGAAAGGAGAAGCCCACCGAGAAGGGTATGTATGTTGACCGTGTCTTATTTCCTGCAGGCTTACCACTTGAAGGCCCATCAACAGCCCCAAAGTCCCCTCCCTAAGAAGTCTAATGCCAGTGTTTTGCTCGGTGTCCGTGCTGTAGTCTGAAGAACTAGTGAATTTGCAAGCGTCACGGGTGTGTTAAAAGCCAGGCTTCCTAGCACACTCACCTCTGGCATGTATTTGTTGGTTAGTGTTTACCCATCTGGACTTGGTTTCAAGCTCTACCTGTATATTCAGAGTTGATGGGTCTTTCTTGTGTTCTACTCAGATTAATGTTTCTGAGCTCCATGAATTGTAATACACAAACCAGTTCAAAATATCTAAACAGGAGGCCACTTGATTCTTAGGAATCCCATTATAGAAGAGGGGAGGGGAGAGACACATCATATGGCAGTAGGAAAAGGAAATGATAACAAGTGATAAATTATTTCAATGGGATCGGTACTCTGGACCGTATAAGGTTTTGGTTAATAGTCTTTGGTTTCCATTCTTTTCCTGGAGCACACACAGACAGAGCCCCTCTTTAGACATGCCCTATTTGTAGGTGATTAGGAGGCATACACTGGCACCCATGAGTTGTCTTTGGTGTCCATTTGGACTACAACACAGTCCAACATCAACTAGGGCTTGTTGGACTTGACCAGCTTTGATCATCCAAGTTAGGAAACACATCTCCCCTAGCCCTCACTGTGAGCAAGGCTGCCAAGGCTGGTTCTGTGCATTTTCAAACGCTGTCCATGGCTCAACAGCTTTAGTCTGACCTACCAGGCCTTTTCTTTTCTACCCTTTGAAACCACCTCATCTGCTCCACCCTACGTTCTGGAGGTTAGATGTGAGGCTGTGCTCTCTTGTCCATGTGACTGGTACCCTTTACTCTGTGGCTGAAGTGAGCTGGCAGCAGTGTGACAAAAAGAAGCCAGATAATACATTATCACTGCAGCAAAACACCCAGACTCAAAGATCCTGGTGGAGGATTTCTGTGGTTGAATTAGGCAGAGTCTGCTTATTGTAAGCAGTGGAGAAGAAACAACCTCTGCCTTCCAGGGCAGGAAGTGAAGTCAGTGCACTGGTTTCAATGGCAAGGTATTTGGTGCTTACCCTACTCTTGACTGCCTTCCAGGGCAGGAAGTGAAGTCAGTGCACTGGTTTCAATGGCAAGGTCAATTGGTCAATCCAACTTGGAGCAAATGGCCTGTCCACAAGAGGAGCTACTTCTTAGTACCAACCCTACCTCTGAACAACAGTTAAGATTCCAGTAGCTATGAAACAAAAAGAAGGACCTAATGGGATGCTAGTAGTAAAGCAGGAAGCTTGTTCAATGCTGCGATGCCATCTCCATTTTCATCCATTTCAGTCATTTTTTTTGAATCCATACACATCCAAAAGTCACACACCAGGGAAGATAGACTTAGGCATTACCAGGTTACAAAAATAAGAGGGTCAAACAGGAACCAATCCTGGACTTTGATATAGCTGGTAGTCATTGGAGCCAGACAGCAATATAAAAGGATGTCACCGATACCAGGTAGAAAACAAACTTCATCAAGTGGTTATGAAGCCAGATGTATATAATAATGGTAAGGTGTACCCACTGGGAGTCACACTCAAACAGAAACATCTATGAGCACCCTAGGAAGGGAAAATCATGCATATATCTAGGCACTTCCTTGTGCTATTGGAACAAGCATGGAGCCTTTCTTCATTAGGGTCTTCTAGCTGCCCAGAGGCGCTCTGTGATTAGCGGTTCAAGTCCAGTAAGATATGTCTGGATGGGACTTCTGCCTCTGGTGACTTGGAAAGGGCGGCACTGCACTGTAACTCATCTGTAACTCATTTGTAACTCTGAAACTTACCACCTAGAAACTGGGATATCTACTCATCTTGCAGTGGATTGAGAGTTACATGGGTGAATCTCAGTTGCATTCATCCCAGTGACAGATTCTGAACTGGGTAATGTCTGCCAGTGTCTACATGTTGATCTTACTGATTACTGATTTTGGATAGGAGGAATAGGGTCTGAAGAACACTTGGCCACATGCCTGAGTCCATTGTAATGAATGCATCCCCATATGTTGAGCACAAAGGGTACTATTCAACATGGCCCTGGAAACCCTGGGAATTCTCTGTTGAGTTTAGTGGCTGCCTAATGAAACACATACTCAAGTCAATTGCAGTTAGTTACACTTGATCATTCACTTCTAGGTCACACTGGCCAGGGTTTAAGAGCTTAGAAGTGTCAAACAGAAGACAGAGAAAAGTGTCTCCTGTCACAAAAGGCCCTCCCCTCCGGTATCTCAAAGTATGCACAGTGCCTTAGCCATTTTAAGACTTGGCACCTTAAATCAAGGCCAGGAATTGTAGTTCCCTCCCTCACCTTTAAAACAAACCTCTAGTTAGGTCATCGTCCACACAGGACAAACTCAGGGTGTCAAGGCAGGTCCATAGTGTGGTAGCCTCTTACATTTGGTTCTAGAACCATCATTTCCAGACATCAGGGAACCCTCTGGATACTTTTAACAGGGAATCAATTAATTTCAAAGTCTCAGGCTACTCTGATGGTGGCTCTTCCCACTCCATGCCCAAGAGCATTAATTTGACTAATATTCAAATTTTCTACCACATGGGAACATCACGGAGGGCAGCAGCCTCTAGGGTTTGGCAAAGCAGAAGCTGTGAGGCTCGGGTCCAGGAGTCTCCAGAAGTTGGAGGGCCAGCCATAGCCAGTACCACACTGTGACACCTGTAATGACTCTGGGGAAGGGTAGTATCTGCTCATTTCCCTGGTATAAATACTACATTGTCAGGCAATTGCATCAACTCCTACATCTGAAAACTCTCTGTTCCTCTAATCACCCAAGCCAAGACCTGCATGGTGCCCCTGTGGTCCTGAGGGGAGAAGGGGTTCTCAGGACTTATGTACCCCATGGAGGCTGGAGGTGGCCATTTCGGTTGTATCCCAAATTACAACAACAGGAAATGGATTCTACTTTATACTTAGTAATTTTAATATGTTAAAATTTATATTTGATTTATTTTTCTGTGTGTGCGCTTGCAGGTTGGGGACACAAGGGACAACATACAGAGATCAGTTCTCTTTCCACCACATGGGTTATGGGTATGGGACTTGTGTCACTGGGCTTGGTGACAGGTACCTTTGCCCACAGAGCCATCTTGCTATTGAATATACATATTGCTACAATCACTGCATATTCACTTTTTGTGAAAAGACAAAGAATCGAAGGACCCATCAAGCTAAAACACCCAAAGCTGTCCTCGGAAATATTCTCAACCCTATGAGTCGCTGACCATGAAAGATGCTCATGAAGCAATGGGCTAGTGCCAAGGCTTCTACTTGCTTTTCGAGCCCAGTAAAGCACAGAGTGGTTCTGGATAAGAACCCACCAGCATTAAGAATCTCCCAATGAGGTGGGCCCAGTGGAGCCATGACTGCATCTATGTGATATCTTATACCCACATACCCATAATGTTCTCTGGGCTAGAACTGAGCCTTTGACATCTGTGGGTCTTCTCTTGTGTTAATGTCTAGATAGTGTTAGGGGAAAGTGATGACCTTTGATTCTGACCAGCAGCCTCTATGTACCTTGCACTGTACTTAATGTGCAATATCTTTGATAGGAATCCTCATTATCCAGGACATCAGGCAAGCTCATCCTTGTGGGTCTTTCTATATGGGGACATGTACATCACCAGGCAGCTGCTTTCAGACCCTTCCAAGTTATTCTTCCTAAGAGACTCTTGCATTAATCTTGTTTGCCGTTATGCATGCCTGAAAGGCTGGAGCAGAGAAAGGTCTCATCATAGGCAATTGAGCTTCAGTTGGGTCTTCGTCAGGTAGGAGTGGTGGAGGCTTAAGTATGGTTTCTAGGAAGCCCCTGCCTATAAGAGCACATAGTGTTAAAGGATAAAAGGATAGGGCCATTGGACAGCATTTCAGAGGATGCCTTCTGTAAAGTGGGTTGTGCAAAAATGTCCTCGCAGTCGTGCTTTTTAGTCCCCTATAAAACATTTGGGCAATTCACTCAAATCACCCTGCTTTATGCAGCACAGGCAGCATTTGCTCACCCGGCTGGCATAAATGCCAAGAATTACCCTGCCTATTTCAGTGTTCTCAGTATTATTCTGGTCTCTTCTCAGGAAGTGCTGGGTCACACAGGCTACCTGCATGGCTGATGTATTTGCTAAAGGTTGAGAGTGGGGCAAGCAAGATATGAAATTAAAAACCTAACCAGTTCTTGGAATGATGGAAATTCCCTGTAGCCACCATGGGCTTCCTGAAGTGGAGAGCCACTGACCAGCTGCCTGAAGGGTCTCACTGCTGAGTATATGCAGCCCCAGAAGCACCCTGTGGGGAGACAGCTCTTCCTGCCTATAAGCTTACCCATCCCAGAAACTCTAGGGCAGTAGTTCTCAACTTTCCTAATGCTTCAACCAGTTCCTCATGTTATGGTGACCCCCAACCATAAAATTATTTTCACTGCTATTTAATAACTCTAATTTTGCTACTGTTATGAATCATAATATAAATATCTGATATGCAGGATATCTGACATGTGACCCCTGTAAAAGGGTCATTTGACCCCCAAAGGAGTCATGACCCATGGCTTGAGAACCACTGTTCTAAAGAAGCAATATATTCACTGACTCCTAAGAGCCCAATGATGCTTTCCCTATCAGAGAAGACCAGAAACCTGTGGTAGAAGCTGCCTTTTAAGGGTGTTAAACACAAGGCCAAGACCACCTGTTCTCTAGATTGGCAGCTTCTTCCCTGGCCAGGCCCCTTGGAGCATCTCTCTTTAGGTTTGGGAAGAAGATGGTATCCAGGGCATGTAGACCTCAAAACATAGCTAACAGAAAAGCAAGCATGAAGTGTTGGGCCTCCATGGCTAAACTAAGTCAGTAAATATGTGAGACCACAGCTTAAAAGAAAGCAAGCTAAGGTGCCTGATAGCTTGAGGAAA